AAATATGTAAAGTATTTTTCAAAAGCACAAAAATAATGAAGCTAAATCCCATAAAAGAGAAGAAAAAATGTTGAATTATAAGAAAAACGGATTTTTGAAATTTTTCGAATTTTTGATAATTTTAGATTTTTTACCAAAGAGTCGAGACTATTAAATATGTAAAGTATTTTTCAAAAGCACAAAAATAATGAAGCTAAATCCCATAAAAGAGAAGAAAAAATGTTGAATTATAAGAAAAACGGATTTTTGAATTTTTTCGAATTTTTGATAATTTTAGATTTTTTACCAAAGAGTCGATACTATTAAATATGTAAAGTATTTTTCAAAAGCACAAAAATAATGAAGCTAAATCCCATAAAAGAGAAGAAAAAATGTTTAATTTTAAGAAAATCAAATTTTTGAATTTTTTCGAATTTTTAATAATTTTAGATTTTTTACCAAAGAGTCGATACTATTAAATATGTAAAGTATTTTCTAAAAGCACAAAAATAATGAAGCTAAATCCCATAAAAGAGAAGAAAAAATGTTGAATTTTAAGAAAAACGGATTTTTGAAATTTTTCGAATTTTTGATAATTTTAGATTTTTTACCAAAGAGTCGAGACAATTTAATAAGTAAAGTATTTTCCAAAAGCACAAAAATAATGAAGCTAAATCCCGTAAAAAAGAAGAAAAAATGTTGAATTTTAAGAAAAACGGATTTTTGAAATTTTTCGAATTTTTGATAATTTTAGATTTTTTACCAAAGAGTCGAGACAATTTAATGAGTAAAGTATTTTCCAAAAGCACAAAAATAATGAAGCTATATCCAATAAAAGAGAAGAAAAAATGTTGAATTTTAAGAAAATCGGATTTTTGAATTTTTTCGAATTTTTGATAATTTTAGATTTTTTACCAAAGAGTCGAGACTATTAAATATGTAAAGTATTTTTCAAAAGCACAAAAATAATGAAGCTAAATCCCATAAAAGAGAAGAAAAAATGTTGAATTATAAGAAAAACGGATTTTTGAAATTTTTCGAATTTTTGATAATTTTAGATTTTTTACCAAAGAGTCGATACTATTAAATATGTAAAGTATTTTTCAAAAGCACAAAAATAATGAAGCTAAATCCCATAAAAGAGAAGAAAAAATGTTTAATTTTAAGAAAATCAAATTTTTGAATTTTTTCGAATTTTTAATAATTTTAGATTTTTTACCAAAGAGTCGAGACAATTTAATAAGTAAAGTATTTTCCAAAAGCACAAAAATAATGAAGCTAAATCCCATAAAAGAGAAGAAAATAGTATATTGTGCAACAAGTACAGAAAGAAGCTGTTTTCCGACGAGTGCAAAGTTTGCTGTCCCGAGCGAAGCGAGGGCAGCAATTTGCACGAAGTTGGAAAATCTTCTTTCGTACGTGTTGCACACAGTACTTTGTGCAACACCTTTTGGTTTTGATAAAAAAGCTGTTTGGAAACGCTAGTTGACGCCAACATACGTACTGTTTAGCAGGGTTTGGAACGTATGTTACCGCACGTAATATTCGTGGTTTTTTACGCGTATATTACTGTAAAAAACAGGTATTCTACAAATAGAAAACAAATACCTATGTATATCACCAAAAAAACCCAAAAGTTTAAGAACTTTGCCGCACTAGTGCAGCAAAAAAGCACTTTGCCGCACTAGTGCAGCAAAATAAGCACTTTGCCGCACTAGTGCAGCAAAGTACTGTTTTGCGCCTACTTTACAGGCATGCAAAGTATTACTTTCCTTACAGGTGTTGCACAAAATGTTTAATTTTAAGAAAATCAAATTTTTGAATTTTTTCGAATTTTTAATAATTTTAGATTTTTTACCAAAGAGTCGATACTATTAAATATGTAAAGTATTTTCTAAAAGCACAAAAATAATGAAGCTAAATCCCATAAAAGAGAAGAAAAAATGTTGAATTTTAAGAAAAACGGATTTTTGAAATTTTTCGAATTTTTGATAATTTTAGATTTTTTACCAAAGAGTCGAGACAAGTTAATAAGTAAAGTATTTTCCAAAAGCAAGAAAATTATGAAGCTAAATCCCATAAAAAAGAAGAAAAAATGTTGAATTTTAAGAAAAACGGATTTTTGAAATTTTTCGAATTTTTGATAATTTTAGATTTTTTACCAAAGAGTCGAGACAATTTAATAAGTAAAGTATTTTCCAAAAGCACAAAAATAATGAAGCGAAATCCCATAAAAGAGAAGAAAAAATGTTTAATTTTAAGAAAATCAAATTTTTGAATTTTTTCGAATTTTTAATAATTTTAGATTTTTTACCAAAGAGTCGAGACAATTTAATAAGTAAAGTATTTTCCAAAAGCACAAAAATAATGAAGCTAAATCCCGTAAAAAAGAAGAAAAAATGTTAAATTTTAAGAAAATCGGATTTTTGAATATTTTCGAATTTTTGATAATTTTAGATTTTTTACCAAAGAGTCGAGACTATTAAATATGTAAAGTATTTTCCAAAAGCACAAAAATAATGAAGCTAAATCCCGTAAAAAAGAAGAAAAAATGTTAAATTTTAAGAAAATCGGATTTTTGAATTTTTTCGAATTTTTGATAATTTTAGATTTTTTACCAAAGAGTCGAGACTATTAAATATGTAAAGTATTTTCCAAAAGCACAAAAATAATGAAGCTAAATCCCGTAAAAAAGAAGAAAAAATGTTAAATTTTAAGAAAATCGGATTTTTGAATATTTTCGAATTTTTGATAATTTTAGATTTTTTACCAAAGAGTCGAGACTATTAAATATGTAAAGTATTTTCCAAAAGCACAAAAATAATGAAGCTAAATCCCGTAAAAAAGAAGAAAAAATGTTAAATTTTAAGAAAATCGGATTTTTGAATTTTTTCGAATTTTTGATAATTTTAGATTTTTTACCAAAGAATCGAGACTATTAAATATGTAAAGTATTTTCCAAAAGCACAAAAATAATGAAGCTAAATCCCATAAAAGAGAAGAAAAAATGTTTAATTTTAAGAAAATCAAATTTTTGAATTTTTTCGAATTTTCGATAATTTTAGATTTGTTACCAAAGAGTCGAAACAATTTAATAAGTAAAGTATTTTCCAAAAGCACAAAAATAATGAAGCTATATCCAATAAAAGAGAAGAAAAAATGTTGAATTTTAAGAAAATCGGATTTTTGAATTTTTTCGAATTTTTGATAATTTTAGATTTTTTACCAAAGAGTCGAGACTATTAAATATGTAAAGTATTTTCCAAAAGCACAAAAATAATGAAGCTAAATCCCGTAAAAAAGAAGAAAAAATGTTAAATTTTAAGAAAATCGGATTTTTGAATTTTTGATAATTTTCGATAATTTTAGATTTGTTACCAAAGAGTCGAAACAATTTAATAAGTAAAGTATTTTCCAAAAGCACAAAAATAATGAAGCTATATCCAATAAAAGAGAAGAAAAAATGTTGAATTTTAAGAAAATCGGATTTTTGAATTTTTTTGAATTTTTGATAATTTTAGATTTTTTACCAAAGAGTCGAGACAATTTAATAAGTAAAGTATTTTCCACATTAAAAAGTTTGACATTAAAAAATATATAAAAAATGCCAATACTTAACCCACAAAATTAAATTTTCAAAACAAACAAATGAATGCAGATAATTTGCTAACGGAAAGGAAACTTACGATTATTATAATGTATGTATATGTATATGTATATGTATATTTCTATTTTTTATCAAAACGTATAAAAAACAAAAGAATAACTATAACTAACTTCAAGTGTGGACAGAGATCCGGAAATCTGGAATCACGACGATTATTATATATAATTATTTGGCATATGATTTTTGTTTGACCTCAAATTATTTTTATTGTGTAGTTTATTTTTTGGAATCGTTTTATTTTTATTTATTTATTGAATATTAAATTTTTTGATCAAGTAAATTGAAAATTATTGAAAATAAAAAACTAAATTTAATTTATGATTTTCTCTTTTAATAAAATAAAAGAGAAAATCATTACATGGTCATTCGGTAAAATGGTCGGCTCTTATATGGAGCCCTTAGACTACCAGAAACCACTGAGACTTTGCTGTTTGTATTTAAGTTCTGTAATATAACTAATGCACTTCCATAACAGTCTATATAATTACACTGCAAGCCCGATCAGCGGTCACCCGATCAGTGGTCGCTTGTTTACGTCGTTTGTAGATGGGGCGGGCGAGGGGCCATGAGGGAGTCGAAAAGTTGTGACAGTTTAGCGTATCTGACAATCCAGTTCGGAGATATAAAAGTTTAAAAAAAGTGTTAGATTGAAACTAAATTGTTTACAAAAAAATAAAGAAATGAATATTTTTAAATAAAGCTTGTTGACTGTTTGTCTTTCTATTAGTACATACTTTATTTTTATAAAGTTTATTATAGAAATTGAAAACCTTGGAAAATCCGATGCCCACTTCACGAATTTTCACCCAACTGCAATTTATTTTAAAATTATGATATGTACAAACCAGAAAAAGTCATAATTTGTTTAATAAAGTTTTATCGTGTAATAAGATTTTATGTCAGATAGACATTTGTCAAAACATTTGAAATAGTGGGAAATGGAATAGCGGTAAATGAAGTTAAAGAGTAAACAGAAAAAAAGAAAAATATGTAAAAGTGAATGACAGAGCAACAACACCGTAAATTTGAGATCTGAATGAGATAAAGAGTTTATATAACCAAAATAAATCGAAACACGTATAATATTTGAAAATCTATAAATTTTGAAAATCTATTTAATAAAAAACTGTTTGTATCTGGAATTTAAGACAATAATATAATATTCATAAAAAAGAAAATATTCATTAAGAAGCATAGACTTCATGAACTAAACTCAAAAAATTTTGTTTTAACTTTTCAGCGGTTCTTTATCTATTTATGAATATTTCATCTAATTTGAAGAATACATCATTTACCATAAAACAAATATCTTATTTATAAAATTGAAATTTAAAAACTTGAAAAAAAATTACAGACAGTATCGGCACCATCCCACAAATGTAAAAATGAAGATGATGAAGATGACTTGGAGGCTCTGAGACTTGCTGCTTTACAAACATTACGCGTTAAAGATACATTGCAGAAGAAACGTCACTCTCCTCATCAAAGTCATGGTGGAGCTTTTCAAGGGACACAGTCACTGCGTTCTTATTATAAACAGGCAAGAGATCATTTTCATCACAGACAACAGAGGCAGAATGGAGTCAGACATGTAAGAGAATATATTTCTTAGTTTTCCTTTTTATACTGATTAAGTAAGATACTGTTTGCTGTAGTTAAGTCTTTATTGAGATTTAAAAAAATATGATCAAAATTATAAATAAAAACAAACGTGTATTAACCCTTTCGTGCTTCCGGGATACATGAATGTCCCACTTAGAAAAATTTATGTTATTCTTACAAAAGTCAACCAATTAATTTGCGGTAAATTTCTTTCTATTCCGAATGACCGCTGCTACAATTAAAAAAATAAGAAATTATGTAGTAAGATTATAATTATTATAAACAATAGGTAAAATATTTATAAAAATAGCGAAATCTAATTTTTCAAAGTTTCATTAAATTTGCTTACGAATCTAAAGTCAGATTTTCAAAATTCAAAATGATATTTTTTTTCAAACCTGCTCCATTTTGAATTTTTAAAATCTGACTTCAGATTCGTTATCAGCGACCCCGAAAACCCCCGAGTAACAAGTTTTATGTAAATTTGAGAAATTTTGAAAAAATGTCCGCCATATTTGATCCGCCATTTTGAATTTTCAAAATTTTGAAAATCTGACTTCAGATTCGTAATAAGTGACCCTAAAAACTCCTTAGTAGCACGTTTCAATAAAATCCAGCAGCTGTGTTTCTCGGCTGCACGAAAGGGTTAAAAAAATGTCAATTTCTTGCATTCTTAAATTTTTTTCAATGAAGAGATCTCAAGAATTCATTGGTAGTTGAATATTTTTTTGTGAAAGGTTTTTCTTTTATAAATGTATAATTTAATTTACATTGAATTTCAGAATTACTTCCCTAAAAATACTTACCGCAATCCGAATTTGATAGAAATTGTTCCACAAGGAGAAGTAAATGCGACATCTGTTTCAAAGGAAAATATTGACACAGGAGTTAATCAAACTTCTTCAGGTAAATTAATATTTTTATATACTTTGTAAACACATTGTTTAACCTGAACCTAAATAAATAGTTGTATTCAATATCAAAGTAAAAATGAAATAGTCCAAATTAATTTTAACAAAATTATAAATTTATTTGCTGCAAAATTGAAAAATGATAAAACTGTAGGTGGGTTAAAATCCTCACACGATTATTGAACAAAGAAACAATTATTATTTTTAAATCTTCTACATTTAAATTCTTTACTTTTAAACTCTACACACTAATTTAATGATGGAAAATTATATTTTTTAAATTCTACACAATTAAATTGCAGTATTTTACGATAATATGCCAGAAAACTGGATTTCAAAATCTTCAATTTTTTCTATTTCTGACAAAAATTTCTTTTTAAACAACTTAAATCTTGAACAACTATCATAAAAAAATTAATTATTTAATGAATAATTTTACTTAAATATTTCAAAGTTAATTCAATTTCAAAAAAGGGTTGCGTTTACAATTTTCATAAACAGTTGAACTTCAAAAGATTTTAATTTGAAATTTGATGAAATTTCAATTTTGAATGAATTTAATAAAACAATTTAAAGAACTTAGATTTTTGAAAAATTTTAATAATTCAAAATCTTCTAAAATTAGTTAAATTTGTCGATATATATTTAATTAATTATTAAAAATCATGGATTTATAGAAGAATTTTAGTTAAAAACACTAAAAAAATGGAATTTTAGAGAAGTTACAAATTTTTCCAGAAATTCAATTATGTTTAAAACTTTTTAAAAATTTTCGTAAATTTGAATTATCTTTAAAAATAATAAAATTCTTCTCCAAAATTCAATACTTTTCAAAAAGATTTTAAATTCTCATCAAAATTTCAATTATTTTTAAAAATAATAAAATTCTTCTCAAAAATTCAATTCTCTTCTAAACATTTTATAAAATTCTAAGCCAAGATTAAATTATTTTCAATAATAATAAAAATTTCACAGGAATTTAACTATTTACCTACAAATTTTTTTATAAATTTCTTTGCAATAATTCAATTATTTTCAGAAATAAAAATTTATTTTACAAAGATTCAATTACTTTTATAAATAATAAAACTCATTATAGAATTTCAATTATTTTTAATACAATTTTAAACCAAATTCCTCAAAAAATGTAATTATTCTTAAAAATTTGATTAAAATACGTCGAAAAAGTTAAATTTTTTCAAAATTTGTTTATAAAATTCTTTATGAGAATTTAATTTTGAGAAACATTTATTCATTCAATAAATTATTTATTTTCGTATTTAAATAATTGAATTCTCGTGAAATTTTCTAATAAAAAAATAGTTGAAATCCTGTGAAGAATTTTATTGTTTATGAAAATAATTATTAAATAAAAAATATTTATTAAAATAAATAATTTATTTATTATTAAAATAAAAAAAATAAAAATAAAATAAAAAAACTTTTGCAACTAATTTTATTACTTTAATTTTAAAAAAATAACTGAAATCCTGTGAAGAATATTATTATTTATGAAAATAATTGAATTCTTGCAACGAATTTTATTAAATTTCTTTTAAATAATTGAATTCTTTTAATAAAGGAGGATGTTAAAAAAGGGTCGATTTTTGCCCCGAACCGAGAAGTAAATTTCAAGTGAATCCTTATACATTTTGAGCCCAGGAATCGAGTAGTAACCTTCATTTCCCCCCATACCCTCGGGAAAGTGGTGAAAATGAGGAAAAACCATGAAAAGTCCAAAAATAAGAATTAAGTTGGAATAAGAGCAAAAGGGATAAAAACATATCATAAAATATTTTTAAATATTTTCTGGTCTACAAATGCTTGGTTACTGTCGGAAAAGTCGGAAAATTTATGAAAATCCCTTGAAAAATGTAACAAATTCTTTTTAAGTGGTCAGAATCGGTTTAGAGTAGAGTAAAGTTAATTTAGATTAATTCCAAAACAATTTTATATCTACAATGATATCTAGTCTTTTCCCTGATGTCTGAAGAATGTGTGAAAATATCGGAAAACTCAGGAAAATTCAAAATAATAAAAATAATCTATTTACGTTGTTTCAGAACTGGCAGAAGTAATTCAAATTCATTTCTAAATTATTTTTTGGACTAGAAATAACTGTTGTAAGTTTTAATATTGACGAAAAAGTCGGAAAATATATGGAAAAATTATGAAAATTGTAACAAATTGAGCTTTAGCAGTCAGAATCAACTTAGAGTTGAATAAAGTTTTCTATTTCAGTTTTTTCTTCAAATTTTTTTCGAAATCATTTCGTGGACTAGAAATAACTGTTGTTGGTTTTTTTACTGACGGGAAAGTCGGAAAATCTCTTGATAAATTAAAACAAAAAAAATTGTTATCAAAAATTGGGCTTTGGTAGTCAAAAACAGTTTAGAGTTGAACAAAGTTAACAGAATTTAGTTCTAAAAAGATTTTAGATCTACCATCACACCTAGATTTTTCTTTAATATCGGAAAATGTGTGAAAATCGCGGAAAACTCAGGAAAAATAAAAATTTTGGATTGAATTGAAACCTACAACAGTTCCGGGACAAAAAATAATTTGGAAATGAATTTGAATAAAATTTGTCATTTCTGAAATAACATCAATACATAATCCGCGATTTTCACACATTTTCCGATATTAAAGAAAAATCTAGATATGATGGTAGATCTAAAATCATTTTAGAACTAAATTCAGTTAACTTTGTTCAACCCTAAACTGTTTTTGACTACCAAAGCCCAATTTTTGATAACAATTTTTTTTGTTTTAATTTATCAAGAGATTTTCCGACTTTCCCGTCAGTAAAAAAACCAACAACAGTTATTTCTAGTCCAAGAAATGATTTCGAAAAAAATTTGAAGAGAAAACTGAAATAGAAAACTTTATTCAACTCTAAGTTGATTCTGACTGCTAAAGCTCAATTTGTTACAATTTTCATAATTTTTCCGACTTTTTCGTCAATATTAAAACTCACAACAGTTATTTCTAGTCCAAAAAATAATTTAGAAATGAATTTGAATTACTTCTGTCAGTTCTGAAACAACGTAAATAGATTATTTTTATTATTTTGAATTTTCCTGAGTTTTCCGATATTTTCACACATTCTTCAGACATCAGGGAAAAGTATAGATAGTGTAAGTGTGGGTATTTCTGCGAATTTTTAGTGTAGGTTAAATTTGCGAAGCTCGTCTAAGTTTACGAAATTTCGTTAATTATTTGTATTTAAAAAAGTTAATTAAAAACTAATTGTCAACACATGTATTATTGTTAACGCGCGAGTATTATTGTGTGACATTTATGAAGGAAATACCAATTATTGTGCGAGTATTATTGCAGAAAATCAGATGTCGTATACCGCGCTGGTTGTCAAAAAAGAGGTTATGTTTAGTATGCGTTGCGCAGTAAACGTATTTAAAAATCGCAATAATACTAACATGCAGGAAAAATTCTGCTACTAATATAGTTTTAAGTATTATTAATTGAAAATCAATGAAAGATAAGTAAATTAATATATTTTTCAAATAATAAAGTATACTTCTTCCATTAGTAACACTGAAACATGTATACTATAGTGAATATTGGAAATATCAACGGTTTTTAATATGCATTCATGACTGACATATTTGATAATTTCACAGAATTCTGTCATAATATATTTCAAATTTAAATAAATAAATTAATAATTGTCGGAATGTACATTTTTATGAGCTATTCTATCAAGTAAGATTCACAATAATTTTTGTAATTATTTTGAAAAAATTAGGCGTATATTTCAAAATGAAAATAATAATTTTTTAAAAATCGCAATAATTGTGTCACTCGCAGGAATACCCACACTTACCCTATCATTGTAGATATAAAATTGTTTTGGAATTAATCTAAATTAACTTTACTCTACTCTAAACCGATTCTGACCACTTAAAAAGAATTTGTTACATTTTTCAAGGGATTTTCATAAATTTTCCGACTTTTTCGACAGTAACGAAGCATGTGGCAGTTATTTGTAGACCAGAAAATATTTAAAAATATTTTATGATATGTTTTTATCCCTTTTGCTCTTATTCCAACTTAATTCTTATTTTTGGACTTTTCATGGTTTTTCCTCATTTTCACCACTTTCCCGAGGGTATGGGGGGAAATGAAGGTTACTACTCGATCCCCGGGCTCAAAATGTATAAGGATTCACTTGAAATTTACTTCTCGGTTCAAGGCAAAAATCGACCTTTTTTTAACATCCCAGTAAAAAAAAAAGTATTCAGAATAGAGAAAAAGTATTGGTGGAGACGTTCGGTGAATGCGTTTTCGCGACAAAACCGTATTGGTGGGTTACGGTGAATACATTTTGCTTACCGTGAATACATTTTTTTTAAACTCTCGTTTTAAAGATTCATAAGCAAAGTTGAGAATATTTATAAAGAGCGTAAGTGACCTGAAGTATAAAAATGACGATTGCGAGAAGAAAATAAGAAATTTTGAGAAAAAATGAAAAATTAAATGTGACAAACCTACAACGTATGATGATGAAAAGGAACATTGACGATACCGACAGAAACTTGAGAAATCCAAGTAAATGTATGTGAAACAGTAAGTTCCGCCGGTAACGTCAAAGTTCCTTTTAATCATCGTACGTTGTAGGCACAGAAAAGCATATGGTAATTGATCAACATTTGACAATCTGTTTGTCACATTTAATTTTTCGTTTTTTCTCAAAATTTCTTATTTCCTTCTCGCAATAGTCATTTTTATACTTCAGGTCACTTACGCTCTTTATAAATATTCTCAACTTTGCTTAGGAATCTTTAAATCGAAAGTTTTAAAAAAAAAGTATTCACGGTAAGCAAAATGTATTCACCGTAACCCTCCAATACGGTTTTGTCGCGAAAACGCATTCACCGAACGTCTCCACCAATACTTTTTCTCTATTCTGAATACTTTTTTTTTACTGGGAACCTCCTTTATTAAAATAGTAGATTTTGAAAATATTTGAATTTCAGCAAAGAATTTCATTATTTGTGAAATGTAATTGAATTCTTACAACGAATTTTATTACATTTTTTATATAATTGAATTGATGTCTAAAATTGTATTACTTGTAAAAATAAGTGAATTCTTGCAGAGGATTTTTTAAAAAATTTTGTAAATAATTTAATTTTGTTTTGAAAAATTTTATATAAATTTAAATTATTACCAGTTTGAATTTTAAAAAGATTTGAATTTGAAAGTCTTATTTTCTGTGAAAAAATAATACTAATTAATTAACTACACGGAAAGAAAAAGTCCGTCAATCATTAATAGACTAGTATATTACTTTGAGACGGGACACAAAATCATTGAATGGATAACATTCTTTGAGTCATCAATGACGAGTTGCTTGCTAAAATTTAGGAAACTGTCATCAATATATATAAAACTCGTTCACTAAAATTTAGAAAACTGTCTATTAAATTTCCTATGACTATCAAAAGCATTCAAAAAATTCAACTTCTTTCAGAATTATCCCTAATTTTAGACACTATTTGGTACAGAATGAACACATTTTTTTCGTTGCACAGTTCCGACATTTTATTTACACTCTTAGACGCTTTAGACCAACACATTTTCGCATTTTAACGCAAGTAACCTACAACCCGAGACTTACATATATATTCGCATACTTAATAACTACACGTAGAAACGCACACTTATAACACTTTACGTTTAGAAGCGAACTGTTCTTATATACCAAATAACAAAATTTTTCACAACTTGTGAGAAATGATTTTGCACTAATAACTACTTTTTAATTAGCGAGAAATATAAAAGAGTGATCGATTTCTTCATGTTTTCTAATAAATTAAAGATGACCGAGAGATAAAATCATTATTTTACATTATAAATTACATTATACATTATAAAATTTTTTATAATTGAATTCCTTTGAAAAATTTTAGTAGATATTATAAAAATCATTGAATTGAGGAAAATTTTTCAAAATTATTGAAATTTTTGCCGAGAATTTTTTCAAAATTTTTTAAAATAATTGAATTAATTCGAAGAATTTTATCAAACTTTTTTAAAATAATTGAATTTCTGCAACGAATTTTATTAAAATTTTCAAAAATAATTGAATTCTTATGAAGAACTTTTATTAATTTTTTTGTTAAATAATTTTTTGAATTATTGCGAAAAAATTTATAAAACATTTGCAAATGATTGAATTCTTGCAAAGAATTTTATCAAAAAATTTGATAATAATTGAATTTCTTCGAAGAATTTTATTGTTTATGAAAATAATTGAATTTAGGAAGAATTTTATTAAAATTTTACATAATCTTAATTAAATTCGTTTGAAGAATTTCTTTGAGTTTCTTTAAAATAATGGACTTTCTTTAATCATTTTAATTACAAGTTTTCAAAGTAATTGAATTCTATATGAATAATTTATTTCAAGTTTTTATAATAATCCTCTTTCTTATTAATTGAAATTAAGCATTTAATTCTTCAATTTTATTAAAAAATTTTGGAAAATAATTGAATTTTTTTGAAAAATTTCTTTAATTTATTGAATACAATCGAATTTTTTAATAATTGTATTGAAAATAATTGAATACCTGAGAAGAATTTTATTATTTATGAAAAATACTTTAATTCTTGCGATGAATTTTAATAATATATTTCTTTTTAAATAATTGAATTCTTTTGTGAATTTTTATTGAAATAGTAGATATTAAAAATAATTTAATTTTGATATTATTGAAATTAATTTAATTCTACAAAGAATTTAATTGAAATTATTTTGAAAAAAAATTCTAATTCTTAAAAATTATTTCATTAAAATCTTTGAAAATTAATTTTAATAAAAATTTTAAGAATAATTACATTTTTCGAGAAATTCCATTAACATTGTACCAAAAATAATTGAAATTCTGTGATGATTTTTATTATTTATGAAAATAATTGAATTCCTGGTTAAAAAAATGTTATTCTTCATGAAAATAATTGAATTATTGCGAAGAAATTTATAAAAAATTTGTAAATAATAGAATTCCTCTGAAATTTTTATTATTTAATTCATTCATTCAAAATTGTCATTTTCTAAAATTTCAAATTGGAATTTTTTTTTAAATAATTGAATTCGTTTTAGGAAATATTTTATTAAAATCGTAGATATTGATAATCATTAAAATTAGAAAAATTTTTGAAAATAATTGAACTTTGGAGAAGAATTTTGTTATTTATAAAGATAATTGGGATTTTTACGAGAATTTTTTTCAAGTTTTGAACATAGTTGAATTTAATAAGAAGAATTTAATTTTTTTTAAAGAATTTTTGCAATTATTTTGAAATTTTACAAAATTGAATTTTTTTTTTAGTATTTTCAACAAAAATTCAAATTTTCAAATTTTATTATTTTTAAAATTGCTAATTTTATTTAAAAAAGGTAGTAAGAAATTAACCGCTCGATTTTTTGCTAGTTAAATATTTATTCAAAAAAGAAGTTATTGATGTTTCGGATTAATTTTACTATTAAAGAAATTCGTAAATAAATGTAATAGAACATTTCTTTTAGCATCTAATAATTTTTAGAGGAATCAAAATATTCTTTAGGGTCTGGAAAAAAGTTAAAATTAAACCGGAAAAACCGTACTTTCGGCTAGGGAATACAGAAAAATAGTTTTGTCAAATTTTCAAATGGAAATTGCACTCTGTTGAACCGTATATAATCTTATTTAAAAAAAATGAAAATTATTTTAAATCTCAACACAGTTACATTTTGGTGCAAAATTTTAATATATAAAAAGGTGTGCAGAGTCTAATGGTGTCCTATTTAACTGTAAAATTTAACAAAATTAATTTTTTATTAATAACATGTGCTGAACGTTTTTTCTATTCGTTTTTCTTTTGTAATTTTAATTTCTTCTGTATTTTTTTCATACTAGATAAAACTTAATTTTTCTAACTCTTAATTTCATAATTATCCCTCATTCGAATTTGCCACTGATTTTCATTAACAAAATTATTTGCAGATGGATCAAAATTTCAAAGATATGACGATAATGCAAGTGGCTCAGAGGATGACGAAGTGAAGGATATTGATGTTAAAGTAGAAGTGAAAGCAGAAGAAATAGAATCCACTGAAGTTGATGAGAATGTAGCGGATAGGGAAAGTGAAAGTGGTCTTAACGAATGTTTGTCAGAAAGAACTGCCGAGGAAGCAGATGAAGATCGACTTCTCAACGACGATGATGACGATGTTCTTCTTATGGCCGATTTAGAAGAAGAAGACAGTCTCGAGCGTCTAATGGATGAAATGGAGAGGGAAATAAAGGACGACAAAATAGAAATAACGGAGAAGAAAGTGACGAAGAAAGAAAAAGTTGCACTGAAAAAAGTACGAGATGATTCTCGTAAACTTGAAACTAAAGTAAAGTTGAAAGTTGAAGTACCTAAAGTTAAAGAGGAAGTTGTCAAGGAAAAGGTGGACATTCCTGTTGCTCCCAAAGCTGCTAAACCTGAAGTAAAAGAAGTTGTTGCTAAACCCGAACCAAGACCTCTTTCTCCTCGAACAACAAATATTAGGAGACGATCTGTTTCTCCTAAGCCTCGACCTTGGAGAAAAGTATCGCCTCGCAGATCACCGAGAAGATCACCTTTACGATTATTAAAAAAGCCGTTGAGAGAAATTTCCAGGTATAGATCACCGAGAAAATCTCCAACAAGATATTCACCTCGATCTCCAAAAATTTCCCCTCGTCAAAAGTCTCCTAGAAATTCACCTCAGAGATCTCCTGATAGAAGATCTCCGCTAATGTCTAGAGCGATGTCTCCTAGGAATAGGTCTCCAAGACCCACTCGATCACTCTCTCGATCACCGAGAATGTGGTCCAGATCTTCAAGGTCGCGATCAAGAACGCCAAGACGATTATCGCCTAGAAGATTACGATCTCCCAGGTATTCACCTCACAGATACTCTCCGAGACCGAAAATTAGAGTTTCACGATCCAGAAGTCCCCGATCGCCACGAAGAAGAATTTCACGGTCCAGGAGTCCTCGATCTCCCAGGAGAGGATCTCCTCGACTCAGATCACCGAGAATGTCTCCAAGAAGGCTCTCCCCACGTTATCGTTCACCAAGAGGATCTCCACGACGATCTCCTTGGTCCTCCCCGAGAAGATCGCCTCGTTTGTCACCCAAAAGGCTTAAATCCCCTCGATGGTCACCCAAAGACTGCACTCGAAAGTCTAGAGTTAAATCTGCCTCTCCGGAAAAACGTGGCAATTCCCCCCTGAAGAAAAATCTCACCGATGAGAAGAAGACATCCGAACTTGATAAACCGAAACCCAAAAAAGAAACTCTTCCCCAAAAATCTCAACCCGAGGTAAAAGAAGAGCAAATCCTAGATCCTATTCTAGAAGCTCGGAAACGGAAATTCGAGTCCATTACTCCAATTGATCCGATTAATGCCAATAAAACAATTAAATTAAGCAACAAGAAGGAAGAAAGTAAAAAATTAACTCTCAAACAGCCGGAAGTAAAGGAAGTAGATGTTAAGAAAATTATTGTTAAGCGAACGGAACCCACCGAACCTATGGAGGAGTCTGTTGAGAAAAGAAGGAGAAAAGTAATAACTTTAGAACCTAAGGATGAAGAGGAAGATTTATTACCTGAGGAAATATATGATAGTGAAAGTATAGAGGAAGAAACTAATGAAGAGGTGGAGGAGAAAATTCAAAATGTAGAGGAAGTTTGTTTGGAAGTGCATCCGATAAATCAGGAGAAGAAGAAGAAGAAGGATAAAGAAATCTATCAGGTTGGAAAATTGAAAGATCTATCGATTGCAGAACGCATTTCAAAGGAGAAGAAATTGAAGAAGCGAAAAGTTGAGACTGTTATAAGTGGGACAAGTGAAATTGAAACGGATTTAGAAGATGTTACTATTGATGAAGAGGGTGATTTACGTACGGAACTTAGTAGGAGGCGAGCAGAACGGTTAAATAGAGCTGTTCCTATTCAGTCGGCAAGACTCTTGCAATCAGCCTTTAAAGGAGTTGTTAACGAGTGAGTATTTTTATATACTTTTATATTATTTATTTAATTAGCAGGCTTCACAGTCTCTCCCCTATTTCCCTAAAAGTCCCATTTTTTTCATTTTGGCCCCCAAACGTACCCTATTTTCAAAATTTCCCCTATTTTTTTCTTTTAACTTTTAATCATGAATTCACACCAAATTTAGCTTCGTAACTAAACTATGAAACTGACACTAATTCTAATACAAAAGCATCAAAAAATTTTTCTATTTCTGACAAGAATGAATTTTTTAATATTATTTAATTATTACAAAAGTTTTAATGCAATCATCTTGATAAATAACAAAATTCTTCACAGAAATTCAATAATTTTTAGGAATTTTAATAAAATTCTTTACAAAATTCAATTATTTTCATAAATTACAATATTCATCACAAGAATTCAATTATTTTCGAAAGTAATAAAATTCTTCGAAGAAATACAATTATTTTTAAATTTACACGAATATCTCGTCAAGAATTCAATTATCTTTATAAATAGCAAAATTTTTCGCCAAAAATTCAATTATTTTCAAAAATTTATAAAAATCTTTGCAAAAGTTCAATTACTTTCAAAAGTTTATCGCAATTCAACGAATTTCAATATTTACTATTTTCATAAAATTTATCAACAGATTTAATTATAGAAAAAATTTTTTGATACAATTCTACGAAAAGATTCAATTATTATTTTCATAAATAATAAAATTTCATTTACGAATTCAATTATTTTCATCGCAGAATTTCAAATATTTTTAATAAAATGTTTTAAAAATTCCTAGAAAAATGCAGTTATTATTAAAAATTTTATTAAAACGTGAGGAAAGAATTCAATTTTAAAAAACAATGAATTATTCAATAAAACAATAAAATTCGTTGCAATAATTCAAATATTTTCATAAATACCGACAGATTAGCTCAGTCGGATAGATGCCTCGCTTGGCGGTCGTTTAAGGACCAAGGGTATAAGTACCCCTGGTTCGCGCCCATTTGGCTTGGTATTTTTCCGGCACGTGAGACAATCTGAGCGGGAGGTTTGACGTCGAGGTATAATGGTGTGCACCGTCGATTATTGTCCGGTACACACAATTAGAACTCGACTGTCGATAAACCGGTTGTACTCAGGAGAGGTTTTCTACAGTTTCCCTCTTCTCTGGCGAGAAAACCCTTTGACGGGTAGTCCAGGCGAATGCGAGTACTCCTAATTTTCAAGTCGCTCTGCAGGCGCAAAAATTAGGTTAATATATAGAATTTTCATATGTAGAATGGTTATGCTTAATCCAAAAAAGTATTTCTCGGGGACTCTTGTCGAAGTGCGTAAGGCCAATAGGGCAGGAGTATAAACAATAAAAAAAAAAAAAAAATATTTTCATAAATAACATTTCATTCGACGCAGAAAATTAATTATTTTCAAAAATTTTTAAGTAATTTTGCAAAAGAATTCAATAAGTTTGATAAACAAGAAATCGCATAAATTCTTCCCATAAAATCAATTATTCTAAGGAATTTTAATAAAATTCTTTTCCAAAATTCAATTATTTTGATAAATATCAAAATTTATCACAAGAATTCAATTCTTTTGAAAAGTAATTAAATACTTTGCAAAAATTAAATTATTTTCATAATTTTTTAAAAATTCTCGTCAAGAATTAAATTATCTTTATAAATAGATAGGGAAATTCTTCTCAAGAATTAAATTATTGTCAAAATTTTTTTAAAAATTCTTCTCAAGAAGTCAATTATTTTCAAAAATTTTAATAAAATTCTTCTTATGAATTCAATTGTTTTCAAAAATTATTATTTAAATTCTTCTCAGGAATTCAATTATTTTTAAAAAATTTAATAAAATTCTTCAAAAACTTTTCAATTTTTGAAGAATTGATTGCATTGATTTTTTCGACTCAAATGAGAACAAATTTATCAGTGATCTTAGAAATGCCATTTTGTCATTTGATTAAATTTATTTCTTTTACTTCGGCCAGTATTATGATTTATTTCTTTTGTAATTTTCTTTAGATTATAAGATCTCTTTTGTTAAGGACTTTTTTGTCCGTCCAAACTTTAAATAAATAAATAAATAAATTTTTTCAAAAATTTTTTTGAAAAAGTTTAATTGAATAATAATTGATGTTATTAATTTAAAGTAGAATTTTAGTTAAAAATTCTAGAAGTTAATAATTTAATTAAAATGATACAAATAATTTTGAAGAAATTACAGAAACAATTTTCTTATAATAATAAAATAATAATTTTGTCAGTCGGTCATCTTTAATTATTATAAGAAATGGATCACTCCGAGTCGAAGACTTGGAGTAATCCATTTCTTCATGTTTTTTAATAATATTCATTATGAGTTGTTCAATTTGAAAAGGTTTAAATTTGAAATTTTTGAACACCTTAAGGGGTTACACTACTTTGAAATTTTCAGAAAATTGAAAAAATTTTTTTTTGCTTAAAATACTCCTTATGGTCACCAAAATGATATGTCATTAGTTATATATCGATATCTCAAGTAAAAAGACAATTTTCGAACTGTTCAAGCAGGGTCGCGCGCTAACGTTTACATTGTAATGAAAACTTTAAACGCGTTTTTCTCAAAACTGTATTTTAAAAATCGGTGGACACTCTAGCTGCCACAAATTTCAATCGATCCTCTTAGTTCTTTTTTTATTTTATTTGTGATATAATTATCTAACGAAATGCGTACGGATTTTTCTAAATATTAATATTTAAATTTTCTAGACAACTTTAAATAATGAAATTTAGGCAAAAATACGGACTTTTTCCTTCAAATCGATGCCATTTTGCGAAAAATAAATTTTTTTTAAACGGATACGTATTTCGCTAGATTTTGAGCTACAGAAACTAAAGCATTTTTACTTTTTGGTCTAGCTTAATTCTGGACTGAGTTATAGTGTCCACCGTATGGCGATACATTTTTAAAGCACTTTAACATATCATCTGTCGAACCGACAATTTAAAAAAAAAGAAATTTATATATATTTTTTTGTAGTTCAAGAGTAGTACAATACCTTACTGTAATTTAATTTTCCTAAAAAAATTTCTATTCTACAATAAAAATTGTTGAAAAAGCTTATGTTTTGAACGGGTCAAAGTGGTGTAACCCCTTAATTCCAATGAAAAAAAAATGATTACATATTTATTTAAATAAAAACTATTGCTGTTTTCGAATAATTTTACTTTTGAAAAAATTAGTAAATAAATTTAATAGAACATTTTTTTGAGTATCTAATAATTTTTAGAGTGAATCCAGAATATTCTTTAGGGTGAGGCAAAAAGTGAAAGTTGTGTTTGGAAATCAGGGAAAAATGAAGTTAAATTTTTGTGGCTGCTCTGTATAAATAAATGATATTTTTATCTTTATTTAACCAATTTTTATGGTCCCCTAAAAGTCCCCTATTTTTTAATTTTCAGTCCCCTATTTCCCCTAAAATACTTTTTAGAGGCACTGTGAAGCCTAAATTAGCAACAATTCAAATTTTTTTTTTTCACAAAAATAAAATATGAATTGAAATATAGTTTTAATATTATTATAAGTTCTATAATAATGTATTATGACACAGGCAATTCAGAGAAAAGTCCAGGATTTTTACTTAAAGTGATGGAAAAAATTAAATTTTTGAAATTGATAAGAAACTTCTGAATTTTTAGTGTCTTTTTTGTTTGACTCATAAACTATTAAACTACCATGAATTCCTAATACAGAACCTTCAATTTTTTCTATTTTTGACAATAATTTCTTTTTAAATACCTTAAGTTTTCAAAAACTATCATAAAATTATGAAATTATAAATTATAAATAAATTATTATAAATTATTTAATGAATAATTTTTACAATTTTCATAAATACTCGATTGATAGAAGAATTTTAGTTAAAAATACTAAAAATGATTAAATTTTAAAAAAGTTACAAATAATTTCAGAAATTCAATTATTTTCAAAAGTTATACAAATTCTTCGCTGAATTTCAATTATGTTCAAAATTTTTTTAAAAATTCTCGCCAAAATTTCAATTATCTACATAAATAATAAAATTCTTAACATCAAAATTCAATTATTTTTAAAAATTTTAATAAAATTCTTGCCAAAATTTCATAGGAATTCAATTATTTACAAATTTTTTAAATAAATTTCTTCAAAATAATTCAATTATTTTCATAAGTAATAAAATTTTCACAGGAATTCAATTATTCAAAATACAAAATTTCATAAAATTTTTCGAATAATATCAATTATTTAAAAAGATTTTTATAAAATTCGACGCAAGAATTCAATTATTTAAAAAAAATTAACAAAGTTCTTTTCAAGAATTGAATTATTTTTTTTATAAATAATAAAATTCTTCACCGAAATTCAATTATTTTTATAAACTTGGATAAAATTCATTGCAAGAATTCAATTATTTATATAAATAAATAAAATTCTTCACAGAAATTCAGTTATTTTTATAAACTTGAATAAAATTTGTTTGAAGAATTAAATTATTTTTAAAAGTAATAAAATTCTTTGCAGAAATTCAATTATGTTCAAAAATTTTTAAAAAAAATTCTTGTCAAAATTTCAAGTATCTTTATAAATAATAAAATTCTTGAGAAAATTTTAATTATTTTCATAAACAATAAAACTCATCGCAGAATTTTAATTAATTTTGATCGAATTTCTCAAAAATGTAATTATTCTTAAAAATGTTTATTAAAATTCGTCGAAAAAATCCAATTATATTTGAAAATTTGTTGATAAAATTCTTTATAAGAATTCAGTTTTAACAAATATTTCTTTATTCAATAAATTTTTTATTTTTGTATTTAAATAATTGAATTCTTCTAGAATTCTCTAATAAACAATTGATTTAAAAATGAATTACCGAATAATCGATTTATTATTTATGAAAATAATAATTAAATTTTTGCAATGAATTTGATTACATTTTTTTTAAATAATTGAATTTTTTGGAGAAATTTTACTACTTG